ATCAACACAATTAACCAAAACAAGGCCGCTTCTAGTCACCAGGCTTGAATCCACCTTTCCCACTGCTTTCTTCACAGTCCTCGATATTACAAATGGATTTCCCAAATGAATCTCCTTGTCCAAAAAATGCAGTCCAATAAGAAATTAATTATTGGACCGGTCCTTGTCTTCTACTACAACTTTTGCTTGTTTTGTTCCATTCTTTGATTTCACTATTTTCCATTAATTGTCACACACTTCACTTGCCGCACTTTCAGATTCAAGCACAGTCGCCATTTCCTCTCTCGTTGTCTCTTCGGCTACCGATTTCAGCTTGCCTCAAGAAAAAAAATTCTGTGCCCGAAAAGCTGAAAAAAACCTTACCGAAGTCCAAAACATACAAAAACGTCACAAAATGTCGTCATAATATACTGTATGCACGAACTCGTCCAAACTGTTTCGGCTGGGTAGCATGCAAGCGCCTTTACGTGGTGTTGGTGGAGTAGGTGTCCTTGTTCGCCGACCGTCTGGTATAAATCTCTCTCTTCTGCTGCTTCCATACGGACTAGTAGTGGCCTTCCCCGCACAGGACAACATCATGTATGGGTGGTCCTCTGTAGCTCAGCTGGTAGAGCACGGCGCTTGCAACACCAAGGTAGTGGGTTCGATCCCCGGGACCACCCATACACAAAAAATGTATGCACGCATGACTGTAAGTCGTTTTGGATAAAAACGTCTGCTAAATGGCAGGTATGTGAGCAGTTATGGTAGAAGCTGGTTCTTCACTTTCCTTAATTCTTCTAATAACAAAAAATGGGGACAGTGTTCCGTCCCCCATCCTTTTCCTTAATGCTGAACATGGTTTCAATAAATTTTTTACATAATTCACAACTGGTTTTCAAATGTACTATGATGTAGTTATAATTTGAAGGTTGACTTATCAACAGCTCTCTCTCTCACCCTGTGACAGTAGCAGAGGGCCTATGTTGAACACTACAACTTCGCCCATACCCACAGCACAGACACCTATCAACGCAGTGTCCCGTCACTCCATGCTCCTCCTCTACCCCTCTGTGGACATCGATGCACATATACTGTACATCACATCATGTAGCTATATTTGTATATGTCAATTTTTTAGGGAACTTGATCATTTGTGTGTAGAAGTGGGAATCTGTATATGTACTGGAGAGTAATCTGTCTTTCCACAGGTTTCACTCTAATCCTGGCTGCTACAGCAGGTCATGTTGAGGTGGAGATCCTGATGGATAAAGGAGGGGACATTGAAGCCCAGTCTGAGAGAACCAAAAGCACAATATAGTTGAACATGTTGATGCTCTCATTGTCACTGAAAGGCTTACATGTGTTGACTCATACTGCTTTTTTTATTCCTTTGCATGGTTGAGCAGGATGGATGCCACACACCACTAACTCAAGCTGAACTGGAAGAGGTGGCTGCAGCTAGGGTCCATGTTGTGTCTACAACCGTCTCCACACTGACAGGAAAAGACACACATTGCTGTAAAGGATCCTGCCCGACCCAAATGCTTCAAATGGCACAATTACATAAGAGGCTGCCTGTTTGACAGGTGTTTATCATACGGAAACCACCAGAACACTATCCCTCACAAGATAGACTAAATAAAGTGATTGTTTGCTTGAAACTGTTATCATAAACAAATGATTAATTACATGTTGACTACATGTTTTGTTACCGTTTCCTGATAGGATTTTATAGATCCTGACTGCTGTCTCTAGGTTAGTCTTGTCTGGCACAAACTATTGTAGCTGAATTCATTGCTAATACCCCCATGAATGCCAGGCCATCCGTCTGTGAGCTGAAGCTGAAGCGCAGATGGGTCAAGCAGCTAGATAATGGTCCAAAACACACAGTCAAGTCTACATGAAAATTGTTAAAAAAGCAACACATTTGAAGTTTTGGACTGGCCTAGTCAAAGTCTAGACCTAATCCCAATTGAGATGTTGTGACGGGACTTGAAACAAGCAGTTAGTTCATGCTTGAAAACCGACAAATGTCGCTGAGTTAAAGAAGTTCTGCATGCAAAAATGGGACAAAATCCTCCACAGCGATGTGAGAGACTGATGAACAACTACAGAAAGCATTTGGTTGCAGTCATTGCAGCTAAAGGTGGCACAACCAGTTATTGAGTGTAAGGGGCAATTACTTTTGCTCACAGGGGAATTGGGTAACTTTGTTAATAAAATAAGTATACATTTTTTTGTAAACTCAATTTCCTTTTATTATTTTATTAGGTTTTGGTTGAAGATCTGAGAACATTCAGTATAAAAAATAAATGCCTGTAGCCTGGTCCATCAAACTATGCCAGAGCCTGACCCATAAAACCATATTAAAATTGTAGGATGTTTCAGAATATGACGACACGAATTGTTTTCTGTTGTAGTAGTGGTATACCTCAGTATCAATCAGTTTTCATTAGAACTTTGACCTTCTTATAAACCATGCTGTAACATGACACAAAATGGCCTAATAACCGCCGAGCATATACGGAACGTTAAATTCCACACTCAAATTCTAAGGGACATCTTTCTGTGAACGCAGACTTGTAAAGTGTTATTTCTATACACTGCCGCAGCTATTGTTGTGGCAGTGAAAGTAAATCATTTAGAGGGAAAAGTGGATTTGTTTTAGAAAGGACATTTTCCAATACTATACTTGGATTATAAGCGTAATATCTGTGTCTAAATTGTACAGTTTGTTTGATTTGGAGCCAAGAACGAGCACTACTGCTACTGGACGATGGTAAACTAACGTCAGCTTGTTAGCTAGCTATTACAGTAGCTAAGCTGACTGGCTAAGCATAGCTAGCTACACATATCACCAGTGAACGTGGATATTATTGTACTTATTTAGCTAGCTAGGTTAGCTAACTAGTTATACAAGAACTGAACGCGCACTAGACTATTTTGTTGTTGTGTTTATACAGTATTTCTGTTGCCTTCTGCGGTGAGCTAACTTCGCTAGCTAGCTAGTATTGCGCCTGAACAACAGGCCTCATTTCTTGCGGTAACGTTAGTTAGCTATCTATATATCCTGCTAGTACTAGCCAGTGCCCTATATTAGCTAAATAACAGTTGTCAATCAAAATGTGCAGTTTGTATTGTTATTGACGTGTATTCGAGTAGCTATTTGGTTTAACTAGCTAGCTACATACACCTAGCAAATGTAATGCTAACGTCAGCTAGTCCAAATCATTGCTAACTGCTATGGTTGCTTACGCTTCACTGACCAGGTTAATATTAACGTACATGTTTAGGAATGACAAGGCTAGTTAGTTACAAACTCAGAATCTTCCCTGGCAAGCTAGATCGTGCCGGGAGACTGTACAGGTGTATATAGCCAGATAAAGTTACTGTATCTAGCTACAACGTCGATGTTGCCTTGGGCTAGCTACATACTAACGTTAGTTATCAATATTAACAGTTGTGCAACTGACAGTGAGTTAGCTAACAATAGACAGAGAATAGATATGTGACGTTGTATTGTAAACCAGGTATTCCAAGATTATGTTGTTAGCTACCAGCTAAGTGACACTCCTTTTGCCCAAACATAACGTTACTGTCACTATAATCATGTAGCTTCCTCTTTTCTGCCATCTGTCAGACGTTTCATTTGTTGAACTGGATTAGTGTCACTGTTTCAGAACTCTGTTGTTGCAGCAAGCTACCTTTACTGCACATATGCTAGTTCCCTCCATCCATAGCACTCACACCACTTTGAGAGGTTAGGCTACCTCTTTCTAATGAGTTTGCTGCTTTATCTGCATCTGTTGCCATGGTTACAGAGCCAACCCTGTCACTATGATAAGATGATGAATAATTTAGCCTTGACTGGAGGAGTAGCAAATTATCTTGAGAACAGTTGGTTATTAAACTATTAAGCCCACTTATGTTACCATCTCATGTTTGTCATTCATGCAAAATGCATGCAGTGTTTCTGCATTCAAGACAATTCATATTCTCATTAGATACATTTGTCTCTAGTAACCAAATATATTATCATATACACATGACTTGGTAGAATCTAAATTAACATATTTACATACAAAAACACAGCAATGAAACAAGATCAGGTTACGCCTACATAATCTTGAAATCATAATTCTGCGCTCTTGTCTCCTTTTAAATCATGGTTGTTTTTTTTCTTTGTAATTTCTCTGCCTTCAATGTATTATTCAATTACACTTGAAGGATCTCCTTCTCCATGCCGGAAATCAGCCCCGCCATGCACATGGTAAACAGAAGCCGAGGGCAGCAGGGTTTATGTTTCAAGCTGAAGCAAAGCCCAATCCAGTCAGCCATATTCCCCCCAGGCAGCACTGCACTGCGGTGGACAGGCACACTTACTGACACTGTATTATAGTTACAATATTCAGGACCAGTGAAGGTCAGACCTCAGGCCCAGCTGCTAGGTCCTGATCAAGGGGAGGCTGGAGTCAATATAACACTGACTAGGCTAATCTCTTACAATATGTCATACATTAGCACCTGTCTAGAGAGCAGCTTTGTATGGCAGGGGAACTATTCTAATCATTTTGCTGTGTAGTGTAGTCTATAATGGAAGCAGTTTTGAAAGAGTGCATATATTGATGAGCTAATTTATTTAGATTTTTGACTTTTTCACTTGAATGTCAACACAGATTATTGCAATCCCAACGTTCTACGATCCAACATTTTATTTTATACTTCAGAGCCTGCACTATGTGACTTATACAAATGTGTGCTCCTTTCTTATAATGTTTTTTGTTGTGTGTTTGTTTGCAGGTCTCTTGGCAGGGTGCTCTCCTGATTGCTACTTGAAGGGGGTCTTCCAATATCATCTGCCACTCTGAAGAGAAGACCCCACCTTGTCTCTGTGTTGGATTGTGGCCTCTCTCTTCATCACCTTATGGAGGAGTAGCTCTTGACAGTTTAATTACACGCGATAAAACTAAACGTGACACAGAGCAACTGAGAAGAGAGCAACAACGAGCAAAGAGACAATGTCATCCAACAGAAGTCAGAACCCTCATGGGCTCAAACAGATTGGCCTGGACCAGATCTGGGATGACCTGCGAGCAGGAATACAGCAGGTGTACACCAGACAGAGCATGGCCAAAGCACGATACATGGAACTCTACACGTATCCTTCCACATAGATACACTGCGAGGCTTCTCTGACTAATGTATTTCCTTTGTAACTTCCCGGTGTGTGTTTATTAATAATATTTATTTATTTATATTATTTATATTAAGGGGGATAGCTAACGGATGGTTTCTTTGCCTGGTAAGTCAAACAAAATGGCAAAGCTGGAAAAAAAAAATGTTTTGTTTTTATGGCACAGACACCAGCACAGGTTTGCCTCAGTTTAAAGCATAATTGGGGATAATCCATTTGTCAGTATTTTCAGTTTCTACATTTATGTTGTTGCCTTAACCCACCACCCAGACATGTTTATAACTACTGTACCAGTGTGCACCAGTCTAATCAGGCCCGTGGGGCAGGGCCCCCGCCATCCAAACCCTCCAAAAAGGCCCCCACCCCAGGAGGGGCCCAGTTTGTGGGCCTGGAGCTCTACAAGAGACTCAAGGAATTCCTCAAGAACTACCTGACCAACCTGCTCAAGGTAATGCTCTTTCCCGTACCTTTTAAATGGACTGAGGTCAATGAAGCGACTGAATGAATTGGCCTACTGGTTAATTCTCCATAAGCCCTTTCAAAGGAGGTTAAAGGAAGCATATCAAATATCCTACCACATTTGCATGCTTATCTTTAACTAAATATCAGTATCTTATTCTCCTCCCTCTCTGTTCCCTTCATCTGCAGGATGGAGAAGACCTGATGGATGAGAGTGTATTAAAGTTCTACACACAGCAGTGGGAAGACTACAGATTCTCCAGCAAAGTGCTGAATGGTATCTGTGCCTACCTCAACCGGCACTGGGTCCGCCGTGAGTGTGATGAAGGGCGCAAAGGGATCTACGAAATCTACTCCGTAAGACGATAAACAATACTTTTCTTAACCCAAATCTCATATTCTTCGATGGTTTTCTCAACCGTATCCATCGCCCCATCCTTTCCTCTCCTTTCAGCTCGCTTTGGTGACATGGAGGGAATGTCTTTTCAGACCTTTGAATAAACAAGTGAGTATCCCCTCAGATCAGCTGTGGAAAAGTTATTCCCAGTCTTAGTTGATTAGTGAGTAGATTGTGAAAGTGTACAATTTGTTGAAAGCATTTACCCTATATTTCTTTCCCCCCACAACTAAGGTCACAAATGCTGTATTGAAGCTCATCGAGAAGGAACGTAACGGAGAGACCATCAACACCAGGCTTATCAGTGGAGTCGTCCAATCCTATGGTAAGCCCTGGCATATTTTAATTGTGTGTTGGTCAACCAATATGAAACTGTTGTGCAAAATCTGACAGTGGAGGTTATGTGTTTTTCAGTTGAGTTGGGTCTCAATGAGGATGATGCCTTTGCCAAAGGCCCCACTTTGTCGGTCTACAAAGAGTACTTTGAGACTCAGTTCTTGGCGGACACCGAGCGCTTCTACACACGAGAGAGCACAGAGTTCCTGCAACAAAACCCTGTTACTGAGTACATGAAGAAGGTTGGTTATCAAACCTGTGCATCGAGCGAAATAGTAGCTGTATCTGTAGCCTTTGTTTAGGGTAAAAATTTTAACCGAATCCCTCTCTTTGTCTCTCTCTCCATCTCTATCTGTCTCCCTCTGTTCTCTTTTTCTCCTTCTCTGTCTCTCTCTCAGGCGGAGGCACGTCTTTTGGAGGAGCAGCGGAGGGTGCAGGTGTACCTCCACGAGAGCACGCAGGACGAACTGGCCCGCAAGTGTGAGCAGGTGCTCATCGAGAAGCACCTGGAGATCTTCCACACAGAGTTCCAGAATCTTCTGGACGCTGACAAAAATGAAGGTACAGAGGAAAGTCCAGATGGCAATTGCCAGACTTGCCTTTTTGCTTTATATGTACTTTCCATAAATGTATACACCGTGTACTAAACATTAGGAACACCTGCTCATTCCATGACAGACTGACCAGGTGAAAGCTATGAACCCTTATTGATGTCTCTTGTTAAATCCACTTCAATCAGTGTAGATGAAGGGGAGGAGACGCGTTAAAGAAGGATTTTTAAGTCTTGAGACAATTGAGACATGGATTGTGTATGTGTGCCATTCTGAGGGTGAATGGACAAGACAAACGATTTAAGTGTCTTTGAACGGGGTATGGTAGTAGATGCCAGGCCCACCGGTTTGAGTGTGTCAAGAACTGCAACGTTGCTGGGTTTTTCACACTCAACAGATTCCCGTGTGTATCAAGAATGGTCCACCTACCAAAGGACATCCAGTCAACTTGACACAACTGTGGGAAGCATTGGAGTCAATATGGGCCAGCATTGCTGTGGAATGCTTTTGACACCTTGTAGAGTCCATGCCCCGACGAATTGAGGCTGTTCTGAGGGCAAAAGGGGGTGTCACTCAATATTAGGAAGGTGTTCCTAATGTTTTGTACTCTCAGTGTATGTACTTCTAAATGTACATTTACTGTATATGTACTTTCCATGTGAGCTTTGGCTGTGTAAATGTATGTTTGTGGTCATCACCATTTATTCTCTCATATCTCTCTCTCTGTGTAGACCTTGGGCGGATGTACAATTTGGTGTCCCGGATCACTGATGGGTTGGGAGAGCTGAAGAAACTCCTGGAGACGCACATATACAACCAGGGCCTTGCTGCTATAGAGAAGTGTGGAGAAGCGGCTCTCAATGTAAGAACTACAGTGGATTTAATAGTGACATTTACACATACAGTTGTGGTCAAAAGTTTTGAGAATGACACAAGTATTGGTCTTCACAAAGTTTGCTGCTTCAGTGTTTTTAGATATTTTAGTCAGATGTTACTATGGTATACTGAAGTATAATTACAAGCACTCCATAAGTGTCAAAGGCTTTTATTGACAATTACATTAAGTTTATGCAAAGAGTCAATATTTGCATTGTTGACCCTTCTTTTTCAAGACCTCTGCAATCCGCCCTGACATGCTGTCAATTAACTTCTGGGCCACATCGTGACTGATGGCAGCCCATTCTTGCATAATCAATGCTTGGAGTTTGTCAGAATTTGTGGGGTTTTGTTTTTCCACCCGCCTCTTGAGGATTGACCACAAGTTCTCAATGGGATTAAGTTCTGGGGAGTTTCCTGGCCATGGACCCAAAATTTAGATGTTTTGTTCCCCGAGCCACTTAGTTATCACTTTTGTCTTATGGCAAGGTGCTCCATCATGCTGGAAAAGGCATTGTTCGTCACCAAACTGTTCTTGGATGGCTGGGAGAAGTTGCTCTTGGAGGATGTGTTGGTACCATTCTTTATTCATGGCTGTGTTCTTAGGCAAAATTGTGAGTGAGCCCACTCCCTTAGCTGAGAAGCAACTCCACATATGAATGGTATCAGGATGCTTTACTGTTGGCAAGACACAGGACTGATGGTAGTGCTCACCTTGTCTTCTCCGGACAAGCTTTTTTCCAGATGCCCCAAACAATCAGAAAGGGGATTCATCAGAGAAAATGACTTTACCCCAGTCCTCAGCAGTCCAATCCCTGTACCTTTTGCAGAATATCAGTCTGTCCCTGATGTTTTTCCTGGAGAGAAGTGGCTTTCTCGCTGCCCTTCTTGACACCAGGCCATCCTCCAAATGTCTTCGCCTCACTATGCGTGCAGATGCACTCACACCTGCCTGCTGCCATTCCTGAGCAAGCTCTGCACTGGTGGTGCCCCGATCCCGCAGCTGAATCAACTTTAGGAGACGGTCCTGGCGCTTGCTGGACCTTCTTGGGTGCCCTGAAGCCTTCTTCACAACAATTGAACCTCTCTCCTTGAAGTTCTTGATGATCCGATAAATGGTTGATTTAGGTGCAATCTTACTAGCAGCAATATCCTTGCCTGTGAAGCCCTTTTTGTGCAAAGCAATGATGACGGCACGTGTTTCCTTGCAGGTAACCATGTTTTTTGGGGGATTAAGTTCATTTTCATGGCAAAGAGGGACTTTGCAATTAATTGCAATTAATCTGATCACTCTTCATAACATTCTGGAGTATATGCAAATTGCCATCATAAAAACAGAGGCAGCAGACTTTGTGAAAATTAATATTTGTGTCATTCTCAAAAATTTGACAACGACTGTACTTTTTACCCAAAGGTTCACATCTTTATTGGATTAATCTGAGACACTGTCCAGTTCTCTTGGGTTATCCTTGACTTTATTGTTTTCATTTACTTTACCACAGGATCCCAAAATGTATGTCCAGACCATCTTAGACGTCCACAAGAAGTATAATGCTTTAGTAATGTCAGCGTTCAACAACGACGCTGGTTTTGTTGCTGCTCTGGACAAGGTATGTTCATAGCTTACTATATTTTGTGGTGTAAGAGGTTTTCATATGGTGTCACGCACACTGTTGCTGTTGTTACGTTTGAAGCCTTTTTTCCAGGCCTGTGGACGCTTCATAAACAACAATGCTGTGACCAAGATGGTGCAGTCGTCCAGCAAATCCCCAGAGCTGCTGGCTAGATACTGTGACTCTCTGTTGAAGAAGAGGTGTGTCACTCAGTCTCTCCTCTGGTGCATTCACCCAATACATAACTCCAGACCCACAGTTTGATATTAAAGTCTACGCACGCACAGCTGAGAGCAGTAGCCTGCACTCCAGTATTGCTATTGACATTTGTTCTGAAATGGTTCATATTGACATTGATTTTAAAATACATTATTTATTTCGCACAGCTCAAAGAACCCAGAGGAGGCAGAGCTGGAAGACACACTAAACCAAGTGGTGAGTTGGGGGACTGCTTTTTTTCAAGTGTTCAGCTGTCACACTGGCCGTGTCTGAATACCCATATTAGCGTACTACATACTTAAACTACAGATTATGTACTCATTGTCGCATACTATTCAGCACATACTGTTTAGTGAAAAAGTATGCAGTATGCCACGGCTGCAACGCAGTAGCAGCTCCTGACTGGCTGAGTAGGTGAGGCCGGGCCGAGTGCGGGAGGATTTTTCCAAATTGAACAGACATGAGGTGCTTTCGGTTCGCGTAAATGTTTGCCATGTTGCGGAATGGTTGGTACTGAACTATACTTTTCCCAAAATGTTCTTGAACGGACTTTGAGGTACGTTTGTTCCCGTTTGATGGTTGTGGTGAGATGTGGCTTGAAGCAATGAGTGACGTATTTAATGGGCAGTGGCCATGCTGACAGCGTTCCCCAACCCCCAACACAACTCCTCCCTGTTTTTCAACTGGTCGTTCAGTACGGCATCGTTTCCGTTCAATTGAATGTTCAGGAACGTAAAAACGCAGCCCTGCATCGCATTAACCAGCCTGACAATAGCTCATTTCCAATTCGATACATTTCTCTAAACTGAGTAGAATAGGAATGGAGTTATAGGCATACTCAGGCTAGTAATAGGCAGACTATCACATTCGACCTATAGCGTAGCCCATATAGTCCATCTATCCTATTTATACTGAACAAAAATATAAACACAACATGCAACAATTTCAAAGATTTTACTGTTACAGTTCATATGAGGAAATCAGTCAATTTCAATAAATAAATTAGGCCCTAATCTATGGATTTCACATGACTGGGAATACAGTTATGCATCTGTTGTTCACAGATACCTTAAAATAAATCGGCCTCACAAGTGGCCTCAGGATCTCGTCACAGTGTTTTTGTGCTTTCAAATTGCCATTGATAAAATGCAATTGTGTTCGTTGTGCGTAGCTTATGCCTGCCTGCCCATACCATAACCCCACCACCACCATGGGGCACTCTGTTCACAACGTTGACATCAGCAAACCGCTCGCCCACACGACGCCATACACATGTTCTGCGGTTGTGAGGCTGGTTGGACGTACTGACAAATTCAAAAAAATTAACATGACATAACGCAGCCACATCCTGAGTCCCCGGTGCTGACACATTCAGATATCAAAATATGGTTTAGTAGTTAGTTTAAAAGCTCTGACGAAAGCCAAGAGAACAATAAACACTTTTCAATAAGAAAACAGAAATCCACTTTGGGTTAAAAAAAAAAAGAGAGAGAAAAAATACTTGTTTGGCTACTTGAAGAGAACTATGACCTATCACTCGCAGCCCACCTCTTCCAATGCATTGTGGAAAAGTGTGCATCGAATTCTACTAGATGAAGAGCCAAAATGAGTTTAACATCCAGGTATTTAAACCATTAAAACACGTTCTATTTTCGCATACTGAGAATGCATCATGCGCGATTTCGTTGTTTCCCGCTATTCGTTGATTTCGGTAGCACCTCCCAATATCAAATTGATTAGCTGTGGTCAAAGCCGAAATGAGTATGACATCAGGGCATTTAAAGTATACTACATTTTTGAAACGTTGCATACTATTAAACTTGATTTTTTTCGCATCTTCAAACAGCCTACTATTTAGGACGCAAGTATGGGTATTCGTACACGGCCACTGGTACTTCATCTGGATGTCTAGAGAAGACGGGATGAAAACTTGGACTTTCTCAACTGCCTGCCCTCCATTGCAGACCCAATCTCCTCTCCCTCCTTCAGCCCGATGTTGCATTTTAGTTGGTTTACAGTATGTGACGTGATCTCTATTCACAACTCTATATCTAACTGTTATGTGTTCTCTTCCCTAGATGGTTGTCTTCAAGTACATAGAGGACAAAGATGTGTTCCAGAAGTTCTACGCCAAGATGCTGGCTAAGCGGTTAGTCCATCAGAACAGCGCCAGTGACGATGCTGAAGCCAGTATGATCTCCAAACTGAAGGTAGTACACGACTGAAATCTTGGTCACCTCATGACAATGCCTTTAATTGCCTTGAAACACATTTGATCAATTTGCAGTTTTTGTGATATTGCCATTACATTTTGATTGGTTTGTTGATTTACAATCCGTAAGATATTCTCTGGTTGCTCAGTCTTTGGACTGTGTTTTACCTGGGATCACCCCTGTTTTAATAGCATGTCCTGCCCCCAACAGCAAGCGTGCGGCTTCGAGTACACCTCTAAACTCCAGCGCATGTTCCAGGACATCGGAGTCAGCAAAGACCTAAATGAACAATTCAAAAAGCACCTCACCAACTCTGAGCCTTTGGACTGTGAGTATAATGTGACTAATGAGCAAAAGGAGAGTTTCCAGATTCTGGGATTCATTATGATGTCAGAAAGGAGTTTATTGGAAACTCTGCTACCGAGATTAATCTACTGGGTTATCCTAACCAAACTGTAAAACAAAGAATCACTTTGAAACAAAAAACTATGGTAAGAAGATTGCTGATCTGTTTTCTGTTTGTGTGTGTATATCCCAGTGGACTTCAGCATCCAGGTCCTCAGTTCTGGTTCCTGGCCCTTCCAGCAGTCTTGTACATTCGCTTTGCCCTCTGAGGTAAGACACACTAACGGATCCCCTCCACTGTGACCCAATTGACTGACATTGATCCCTGTTTACTCACTGTTCTCTCTTTTCTTCTCTCCTACCCTCATTCAGCTGGAGAGGAGTTACCAAAGGTTCACGGCCTTCTACGCCAGCAGACACAGCGGGCGCAAGCTGACCTGGCTCTACCACCTGTCCAAAGGAGAGCTGGTCACCAACTGCTTTAAGAACAGATACACTCTACAGGCGAGTACAGATGTTGTCTCTGATCAGATAAAATGCAATAATGTCCTTTCAGACTCACACAAGTTAGGAATATTCATCAACTAACACTGTTGAACAAACATACTGGAGCGTACTGGTGTGTGCTCACTGTCAACAAGCAAAAATTCCACAAATCAACAATATGCATGTAGCTGAGTTGACATTGTATCCTGTACTGTTAGATGGTTTTGACGTATTCCCTGTTGCTCCTCCTGTCCTCCCAGGCTTCTACCTTCCAGATGGCCATCTTACTGCAGTACAACGCTGAGGACGTCTACACAGTGCAGCAGCTCACTGACAGCACGCAGATCAAGATAGTGAGTACTGACAACTCTAAGGGAATCAGTTACTGTCAGACAGACCATTCTCTTTGATGAATGGTTTTTCAAAGGAAGATGTTATGTTTTGATGTGAAGATATAAGCTGAAAGCAACAGCCACTAATTTGCTTCAAATACATTTTGATGACGGTTTGTTTGTTTTTTCCCAACAGGACATTTTGGTGCAAGTGTTGCAAATCTTGTTGAAGTCCAAATTGCTGGTAAATTTTGTGCCTCTTATTATCAGATAATAGACAGAAAAAACTCCAGTTGATAGGGAACCACCAGTCACCATTCAGCACTGTAGAGTCTCTTTGAAAGTTTTGACCTTCTTTTGTCCAGGTCCTGGAGGATGAGAATGCAAATGTGGATGAAGTGGAGTTCAAACCAGACACCTTAATAAAACTCTTCCTGGGATACAAAAAGTGAGTGATGACACACACCATGGCTGAGTCCTAAAGTGCACTATGTAGGGAATGGAGTGCCATTTGGGAAGCAGCCCATGTTATCAGTGTAGATCACAACTGTACAAATGGTGTAAAACAGATATTCATAATTGCTATGATGTTACTGTACTGTAATCGATTCCATGAATTGTTGCTGATAGCAGGTTTTGATTTTAATCTTGACAGCAAGAAACTTCGGGTGAACATTAACGTGCCAATGAAGACCGAGCAGAAGCAGGAGCAGGAAACCACTCACAAGAACATAGAGGAGGATAGGAAACTGCTAATACAGGTACACTGTCCATCAGTCCATCATCATGCTCCTCTGTTTCGCTGACATTTACACACGCACACACTCAAGTTCTCATTCACACTCACAGAAATCTATGTTTATCATCCATTGTGCACAAATGACTCTCTATTCTAGAATATTCACCCAGGGTCATTGTTGTCTAAGCATGCTCTGTTGTATTCCTCCACCCTACTGTAGGCAGCCATCGTGAGAATCATGAAGATGCGTAAAGTGCTGAAACATCAGCAGCTCCTGGCAGAGGTTCTGAACCAGCTGTCATCCAGGTTCAAACCAAGAGTCCCCGTCATCAAGGTAAATGATGCATTAGATTACCCCGTCATCAAGGTAAATGATGCATTAGATTAGGGAACATTAGATGGCAATTTACCTTGTGACTCCAGAGGATTTCTTGGAACCACATACTGTAAATGCAACATCTGCCATGGTAGGAACGGTCTTGTTTGTGTCTTTCAGAAATGTAACAAATCTATACTGTGTTTTTACATTAGGGTTGTTTCCTGTAGGTTTATGGAAACTACTTTCTGTATGCAACATCTGCCATGTTAGTAATGGTAATAATGGTAATGTGTGTTTGTGTCTTTCAGAAATGCATCGACATCCTGATAGAGAAAGAGTACCTGGAGCGTGTCGACGGAGAGAAAGACACTTACAGCTACTTGGCTTAAAACCTTTTCATTGTTCTCCATCCTCCCTCCTTTCTTTTTTACGTTGTTTCTTGAGTAATAAACATAATTCTTTTTGACATTTGGCCAATGTTGTCAGGAATGCGAGCACGGAAGGAGAAAAATAAAATAAAAAATAAAAAAAAGAAGAAAGAAAAGTCTTCTGAATCATCATCATCAAGGTGGTTGCTAAAGCTGGACTTCCCTTTAAACTCTGAGATTATGGGATAGCTGCTCGCCCAGTGTTTGTTTGAAGATCCCATCTGAACTGCTCAGAATCGACAGATACATTTTGATATGTAAATATGGACAGAGACCTTTACTCCTTTACCTTTATCTTGCAGAGTTAATAACATTACAAAAAACCCAATCAAAACCCTTCACAGCGAGGGTTGCATGCTACTGCCTATCTGCATTTAAGAAGCAAAAGGACATAATAGACAGAAGCTATGAAGACACTGCTGCTTTACATGGCAGTAGCAAATTAGGAACCTATGTTTTAAAAAAGATGATCAATTTTAGCTGCACTTCCAGAGCGGGATTTGTGTGTTTGAAAAAGGCCCTTAGAAGTGTAATCTGCATTGTTACCTGCTACCAGAAAACCATTTGTTATAGTGTGGTTCACTTTTTTTTTTATGTGGTAAATAAAAGTTAAAGGTTTCTGTATGCCCTCTGATGGTCTTTATTACTTCAAAACTGATGTAAAAGTTTGGATGATATGTTAGACATTAATGGATATATACTGTGCACTGAACTTGTGCTCAGGCTGTCACTTTGGGGGCCAGGGCTGTCATATAATTGGGGGTGTAGGCCTGCAGGAATGAAAAAGCATGTCACCTGGATATTTTAAGTCAGTGCTGGTTACTTGACATTGCAATCCAGAAATGACATACTCAGCTGTTCATCGCCAGTCATTTGTAAACTGTTAAACTCAAATAAAGCTTGTTGACAACAGGATAATTTGGGATTTTGTAGGTATTAGAACTGAAGGTTGCTATATGATCAGCTTTCATCAGAATGTACATCAATGTCACCGCAAACATTCATATGCAAACTAGCAGTGATGTAAAGTACTTAAGTTAAAAAAAACTTGAAAGTACTACTTAAGTAGTTTTTTGGGGTATCTGTTCTTTACTTTACTATTTATATTTTTGACAACTTTATACTTTTACTTCACTACATTCCTAAAGACAATTATATACTTTTTACTCCATACATTTTCCCTGACACCAAAAAGTACTTGTTGCATTTTGAATGCTTAGAAGGACAGGAAAAGTGTCTTAATTCACACGCTTATCAAGAGGATATCCCTGCTCATCCCTACTGCCTCTGATCTGGCGGACTCACTAAACACATGCTTCGTTTGTAAATTATGTCTGAGGGTTGGAGCGTGCACCTGGCTCTCCGTAAATAAATAAAAAACAAGAAAATGGTGCCGTGTGGTTTGCTTAATATAAGGAATTTACTTTTGATACTTAAGTATATTTTAGCAATTACATTTACTTTCGATACTTAAGTATATTTAAAACCAAATACTTTTTAGACTTACTCAAGTAGGATTTTACTGGGTGACTCACTTTCTATTAAGTTATCTTTACTTTTACTCAAGTATGACAATTGGGTACTTTTTCCACCACTGCAAACTAGCTGCACTTCGTTTCGTTTTACCTTTTTTCAATATACATTTCTTTGTATATATCCATAAAAAGAATGCCAGCTGATTCATGATTTCGACTGGTTGAGAAACGCTGTCTCCTCCAGACTTGTTCATTACTATGGGACAGCTGGAGATCGAATTTGAATATTTAAACAATTTTGCAAATGTCGGAGACAGACAGCAAGGTTTATACAAACCTCCGCTGTTGAAAACTAAATGTTAGTCTAAAAGAAATGTGAGATAATGTCTAGATGCTTTTTATAGTGGAGATCAAGTTCATAAATGGAACAGAGTAAATAGGCATTTTAATGTCATAGATTTAGCCGGTGGTAACTTGTGGAATAGACACCGGCTGGAATGCGTTTTTAACCAATCAGCATTCAGGATTAGATACTGCTGCTCATGCTCCCCGGTGATTTTATTTATAACAACGTTTCAACCCTTAGGTCTTCATCAGGCATCCATATTCCAGATGGGGGTGGAGGTCCTAAATATAGGGGCAACGCTCAGTGACATCACTTCCTGAAACAGGAGGTAAAAAATATATAACATAGGTTCACAATGTTAACACTCAATATATCAAAAATATATGATCATACACAAGGAATGTGATCAATATTTACAGTAATATATATACACAAAATATTCAATTAGGATAAAAAAACACGATAATGTTGATATTTTTTAACTATAAAAACGGTTTCAAGTTGAACTCCTCGTTAAGGCCAAGAGGAGACAGTGTGTTGAGCCTTTCCTAAATTAGCCATGCATGGAGATAGGGATTTTACTTAATTCTCCATACTGGCCAATTAATATAATGGCTATTCTGATCCAACCATAAATTCATACATTGTGCCCATCTCCTAAGAGGATGTAAGTTCAATACAGTGGGGGAAAAAAGTATTTAGTCAGCCACCAATTGTGCAAGTTCTCCCACTTAAAAAGATGAGAGAGGCCTGTAATTTATAGGTACACGTTAACTATGACAGCCAAAATGAGAAAAAAAAATCAAGAAAATCACATGCTGGATTTTTTATGAATTTATTTGCAAATTATGGTGGAAAATAAGTATTTGGTCAATAACAAAAGTTTCTCAATACTTCGTTATATACCCTTTGTTGGCAATGACACAGGTCAAACGTTTTCTGTAAGTCTTCACAAGGTTTTCACACACTGTTGCTGGTATTTTGGCCCATTCCTCCATGCAGATCTCCTCTAGAGCAGTGATGTTTTGGGGCTGTCGCTGGGCAACACGGACTTTCAACTCCCTCCAAAGATTTTCTATGGGGTTGAGATCTGGAGACTGGCTAGGCCACTCCAGGACCTTGAAATGCTTCTTACGAAGCCACTCCTTCGTTGCCCGGGCGGTGTGTTTGGGATCATTGTCATGCTGAAAGACCCAGCCATGTTTAATCTTCAATGCCCTTGCTGATGGAAGGAGGATTTCACTCAAAATCTCACGATACATGGCCCCATTCATTCTTTCCTTTACACGGATCAGTCGTCCTGGTCCCTTTGCAGAAAAACAGCCCCAAAGCATGATGTTTCCACCCCCATGCTTCACAGTAGGTATGGTGTTCTTTGGATGCAACTCAGCATTCTTTGTCCTCCAAACACGACGAGTTGAGTTTTTACCATAAAGTTATATTTTGGTTTCATCTGACCATATGACATTCTCCCAATCCTCTTCTGGATCATCCAAATTCACTCTAGCAAACTTCAGACGGGCCCGGACATGTACTGGCTTAAGCAGGGGGACACGTCTGGCACTGCAGGATTTGAGTCCCTGGCGGCGTAGTGTGTTACTGATGGTAGGCTTTGTTACTTTGGTCCCAGCTCTCTGCAGGTCATTTACTAGGTCCCCCCGTGTGGTTCTGGGATTTTTGCTCACCGTTCTTGTGATCATTTTGACCCCACGGGGTGAGATCTTGCGTGGAGCCCCAGATCGAGGGAGATTATCAGTGGTTTTGTATGTCTTCCATTTCCTAATAATTGCTCCCACAGTTGATTTCTTCAAACCAAGCTGCTTACCTATTGCAGATTCAGTCTTCCTAGCCTGGTGCAGGTCTACAATTTTGTTTCTGGTGTCCATTGACAGCTCTTTGGTCTTGGCCATAGTGGAGTTTGGAGTGTGACTGTTTGAGGTTGTGGACAGGTGTCTTTTATACTGATAACAAGTTAAAACAGGTGCCATTAATACAGGTAACGAGTGGAGGACAGAGGAGCCTCTTAAAGAAGAAGTTACACGTCTGTGAGAGCCAGAAATCTTGCTTGTTTGTAGGTGACCAAATACTTATTTTCCACCATAATTTGCAAATAAATTCATTAAAAATCCTACAATGTGATTTTCATGATTTTTTTTCTCAATTTGTCTGTCATAGTTGACGTGTACATATGATGAAAATTACAGGCCTCTCTCATCTTTTTAAGTGGGAGAACTTGCACAATTGGTGGCTGACTACTGTATGTAGCTAGATGTAGAAGGCTAATGTTAACTAGCTAACGTTGTCCATGAAAGGAAGTTAGGCTAGCGAGCAAGCATTTTAGCCAGGTAGCCTAGAACAACAAAATATATAAGCATGTACTGTATGACAGAGTCATAGACTGTTTTGTCAACATGAAAGAGGGTGAGTCAACGTGATTTGTTATACTTGCACAACGCACTCACATGCAGGCACACACATACAGAAATCAGAACCATGGACAGCCACATCATATTTAGCTTACATTGATTGGACTAAATTGATTTTTGTTATTTTTTAGTTGTCACTGTATTATACTAAGCATAGGTGATTTGATGAGGTTGAAGTTGAAATGGTGCTGCAATAGTGGAGGCAGCTCCTGTTTTCTTTGTGACTTACAGTAACTCTCCTTGGTTCTAAATCAATAGTTGTTTAATAATCTAAAAATGTCGGAAACGTTAACTTGCTTGACCATGCTGTAGGTCAAGTAACTGCTTGTTATATTAAATATGCTATGTGGACTTCACCAGACAGAGGTTGCTCTCCGGTTTTTATTGTCTCTGACTTAGGCCTATATATCATGGTCGCAAGGCATATGAACTAACAGGTTATAGAGCAAACAACGCAATTATCACAACACAGGTTGTAATATGGCTTTTTCTTCTGGCTTGGCTTCCCCAGTGATTTTACCCACGCACCGCTACTGCTTGCAGGTAAGGTTGGCAAGCGAAGCTCCCTCTTCCATCGATAGAACTTACATAATATTTCTGAATGGTGCCCGCGGCCAAGACCAGCACTGCAGGCATTTCAGTAAAAGATTACCTTTCGGAAAAATTTCAGAAATTATTTCTCGAGTTCTTGGAGGAGTAAATTGTTTATATTTCTTGGACGAGCCCGATAGTGCTTGATACCAGTGATAATCTATGCGTAACTCACCCCTCACTTTTACGCACGCAGGTTTCATAGAAATGGGGAACTGGGGTGTAATCATTAGTTCAAACAGTTGTGTTTTGCAACAAAACAAGAGTTTCAGTTGGACAAATTCAGGTAGGTCCCTCCCCATTTCGTTCCATTTGCTTCCGTTTAAGAAACTTTTCAACAGAATCGGTGTAATGTTGTATCTACCTGATGCTGAGGCACTCATTCGACCAGAGAGAAACATGCTGACGGTGAGCTTCACCAACATTGAGCATTTCACTCAGAAACTAGCTACCACCATTCAGGAGGACTATTACAGGTAATTTAAATGCTAATTTGGTAGTCCTGCCCAAAAAGCTTTCATTCAATTTTGCATTGAACCAGAACATATACATTTTGTCCAATCATAATCCACAAGGAATTATATTTTTCATGTCTTGCCATCCCCAGGGTGTATCCATTCCTGTGCAGAGCAGTGCGCCACTTTGCTCAAGACCATAAGAACATACCGGCATCCAAAGAGCTCTAAATGGCCTTCTCTGACTTTCCATCAAAACAAAAATACACAAACTACTGAGCCAGATCTCACGGAATACCTGTCATTTAAAATTAGATGGTTACTCTGCTTACATAAAGTAGTTTCAACAAGTGACAAATGTGCTGTCCCTCACCAGGAACGGAGAGCTCTCCATGGCCCAGATCGGGTCCCTATTCCGTATCAGTGGCCAGGTGGTGAGGACACACCCAGTGCACCCGGAGCTGGTCAGCGGACTGCCAGTCGGTCATCAAAGACATTGAGCAGCAATTTAAGTACACCCTGCCCAACATCTGTAACCCAGTCTGTATTAACCAACTTCGCTTCATGCTGGACCCCAACAAGTCCCATTTTGTGGTCTTTCAGAAGGTAAAGAGGTTTATCTGCACGAGTCCACCATGCCAGATTGACCCTCCAGCAGATAATGGAACCATTGCATACAGTGCATTCGGAAAGTATTCAGACCCCTTGACTTTTTCCATATTTTGTTACGTTACAGCCTTATTCTAAAATTGATTAAATTGTTTTTTTCCCCTCATCAAACTACACACAATACCCCATAATGACAAAGCAAAAAATGGTTTTTAGAAATTTTAGCACATTTCTAAAAAGATAACATTTACATAAGTATTCAGACCCTTTACTCAGTACTTTGTTGAAGCGTTTTTGGCAGCGATTACAGCCTCGAGTCTTCTTGGGTATGACGCTACAAGCTTGGCACCCCTGTATTTGGGGTTCAAGTCCAGGCTCTGACTGGGCCACTCAAGGACATTCAGAGACTTGTCCCGAAGCCACTCCTGAGTTGTCTTGGCTGTGTGCTTAGGGTCGTTGTCCTGTTGGAAGGTGAACCTTCACCACAGTCTGAGGTCCTGAGCACTCTGGAGCAGGTTTTCATCAAGGATCTCTCTGTACTTTGCTCCGTTCATCTTTCCCTCGATCCTGACTAGTCTCCCAGTCCTTGCCGCTGAAAAACATCCCTACAGCATGATGCTGCCACCACCATGCTTCACCGTAGGGATGGTGCCAGGTTTCCTCCAGACGTGATGCTTGGCATTCAGGCCAAAGAGTTAAATCTTGGTTTCATCAGACCAAAGAATCTTGTTTCTCATAATCTGAGAGTCTTTAGGTGCCTTTTGGCAAACTCCAAGCCAGCTGTCATGTGCCTTTTACTGAGGAGTGTCTTCCATCTGGCCACTCTACCATAAAGGCCTGATTGCTGGAGTGCTGCAGAGATGGTTGTCCTTCTGGAAGGTTCTCCCATCTCCACAGAGGAACTCTAGAGCTCTGTCAGAGTGACCATCAGGTTCTTGGTCACCTCCCTGACCAAGGCCCTTCTCCCCCACTTGGTCCGTTTTGCCGGGCAGTCAGCTCTAGGAAGAGCCTTGGTGGTTCCAAACTTCTTCCATTTAAGAATGATTGAGGCCACCGTTTTCTTGGGGACCTTCAATGCTGCAGACATTTGTTGGTACCCTTCCCCAGATCAGTGCCTCGACACAATCCTGTCTCGGAGCTCTATGGACAATTCCTTCGACCTGATGGCTTGGTTTTTGCTCTGACATCAACTGTGGGACCTTATATAGACAGTGTGCCTTTCCAAAATCATGTCCAATCAATTGAATTTACCACAGGTGGACTCCAATCAAGTACTAGAAACATCAATGGAAACAGGATGCACCTGAGCTCGATTTTGAGTCTCATAGCAAAGGCATTTCAGTTTTTTATTTGTAATAAATTTGCAAAAATTTCTAAAAACCGGGTTTTGCTTGGTCATTATGGAGTATTGTGTGTAGATTGCTGAGGATTATTATTTTTGAAATCCACGTAACGTAACAAAATGTGGAAAAAGTCAAGGGGTCTGAATACTTTCCGAAGGCACTGTATATCAGGACTCTAATTGTGCGTGACTGTGAGTTCATATAGTTGCGTATCCAGGAGACTCAGGCCGAGCTGCTTTGTGGCTTGTGATTCCATCCCCCACAGTGTGGCGGTGATCCTGAGGGCAGAGGCTGTGGAGATGGCTCAAGCAGGGGACCACTGCGACTTCACGGGCACCCTGATCGTTGTACCAGATGTCGCTGCGCTGGCTGTGTCAGGTGAAAAGCAACTGCCCTCCAAACACCATTTATTCTATTACACATAAGACTGCCCTTAATAAAAACCATTGCAATGGAGCATAATAGTGACATTCTCCCCTGTACTTTCTCCATGTATGCACTGCAGGCACCAGTGCAGAGACCAGCATCAGAGTGACTGGGGGGAGGGAGGGCTTTGATGCAGACCAGACTGCAGAGAGACTGAAGAACCAGATGACTGTACAGGAGTCGGAGAAGCTGTTTGAGATGAGTAAGGACAAGAACCTCTACCACAACCTCTGCACCAGCCTCTTCCCCACCATACATGGTATGGAGGGAATACAGTGCCTTGCAAAAGTATTCATCCCCCTTGGCGTTTTTCCTATTTTGTTGCATTACAACATGTAATTTAAATGGAATTTTATTTGGATTTCATAAAATGGACATACATAAAATAGTCCAAATTGGTGAAGTGAAATATCCAAAACTTTGAACATCCCACAGAGCACCATTAAATCCATTATTAAAAAATGGAAAGAATATGGCACCACAACAAACCTGCCAAGAGAGGGCCGCCAACCAAAACTCACGGACCAGGTAAGGAGGGCATTAATCAGAGAGGCAACAAAGAGACCAAAGATAACCCTGAAGGAGCTGCAAAGCTCCACAGCGGAGATTGGAATATCTGTCCATAGGACCATTTTAAGCCGTACACTCCACAGAGCTGGTTTTACGGAAGAGTGGCCAGAAAAAAAGCCATTGCTTAAAGAAAAAAATAAGCAAACACGTTTGATGTTCGCCAAAAGGCATGTGGGAGACTCCCCAAACATATGGAAGAAGGTACTCTGGTCAGATGAGACTAACATTTTGCTTTTTGGCCATCAAGGAAAATGCTATGTCTTTTGCAAACCTCTCATCACCCCGAGAACACCATCCCCACAGTGAAGCATGGTGGTGGCAGCTATGTGAATAGTTATGCACGCTCAAGTTTTCTATTTTGTTGTCTTATTTCTTGTTTGTTTCACAAGAAAAAATATTTTGCATCTTCAAAGTGGTAGGCATGTTGTGTAAATCAAATGATACAAACCCCCCAAAAATCAATTTTAATTCCAGGTTGTAAGGCAACAAAATAGGAAAAATGCCAAGGGGGGTGAATACTTTCGCAAGCCACTGTAAGTCTGTCATCAGTGTCGACTCCCCAGACATCAACTTCGACCAGGAACAAGACGACAACGGGGAAATGAATGGTAAGAAACACAATGGGGAAATTAATGGTAAGAAATTGTTACTTTCACCTTTGTGCAACAATATGTTTATTGAAAGTGATACATTTACACATCACAAATAGCCACCCTCTGTTCTCCAGATGAGAATGACATGATAGATGAGGCTGTGAAGGGGACCAACGGCACTAATGGCCATCATGCAGAGGAGGCTATGTATCACGTTTCAGGAGAAGACCCAGATGCAGACAGTGTCGAAGTAACAAAAGTTTATTACAAAAACAGAGGGCAGGCAAACGACAGGTCAAGGGCAGGCAGAGGTCAGTAATCCAGGGTGGTGTGACAAGGTACAGAATGTCAGGCAGGCTCAGGGCAGGCAGAATGGTCAAAACCGGGAAAACTAGAAAACAGGAACTTGCAAAAGACAGGCGCAAGGGGAAAACCACTAGTAGGCTTGACGAAACAGAATGAACTGGCAACAGACAAACAGAGAACACAGGTATAAATTCACTGGAGATAATGGGGAAGATGGGCGACATCTGGAGGGGGGTGGATACAATCACAAAGACAGGTGAAACAGATCAAGGTGTGACACTATGGACATAAACCATGGGGCAGGCAGACCTGAGAAGACCAGCACTGCCAAGCCTACTCTCAAGATGACCTTCGCTGAGTATAGGAGGGTCTCCAACCTCATCGTTGTGCACATGCAGAAGATGGAAGATAGTAAGAGTTTAAACAAACTGAAAGGATCCTTTATTTTCTATATAGTTTAATTAAAAAGATACTAGTTTTGTCAACATTTAACAAAATGTTTCATTCTTACAGTTGACGAAGAGTCCTCACTGAAGTAGTGCGAGCTGATTTAACTGGTACCTGAAAGAGATGAAGAGTGAGATCGAGTCAGAAGCTGAGATGGTTGCCATGAAGAATCTGATTGAAAAAGTGCTTCAGAGACTAATCCACTATCTAAGTAAAGCATTGGAAAACAAGACACACTAAGACCATCTGAAATATTTGACTGTTTGAAGCATTTATGGTATTGACCTTTACACAATGCAGTGAGATTTGTACAATTTGTGAGTGAGTGACATGCTCTGTATTATTTGTTCATTTCAGGGCCACATCATCATAGAGTTAACAAAGACTGGACTGAAGCATGGTGTTGAGGGAGAGGAACCTGTGGAGAAAGAGGACCCCTTCTTAGTGGTCAACCCCAATTACATCCCGGAAGACTAGGTAGGGTCCACGTCCACCTCAGCCGTAGATATTGTGGAAAAGGTAATTGAATTTGTGATTGCAGCTACAATAGCCTACTGTCCACTTGGTGTGCTGACATGTTGCTATTGAATGTCAATGTACTGTCTAAAAAATGTAATGCAGAATATGAAATTAATACACTTTTGTCATACTGCTCATGTCTATGCATTTCAATAAATACATTTTTTGCAATGAGTTGTGCTCACCAGGTGGCGCACTTTCACCTATCATAGCACTGGTGCCTCAGAGTTCAGGCCAATGGTTAAGGGCATGTCAGTTGGACTATGGGGACATTGAGGGGGCCAGGTTTTTTTTTATAGGGAAGAATATACGCTTTTTGTTTATCTCTGATATTCATGGAACATTGGTTCTAAAGAGGTATTACTACTGTATTTTTTATTGTTATTGATAACAGAATATGATACATTTATTAGCTATTTTTTAGAATGGATTTGTCTTATATATTTAAAACCCATTGACCCTAATTCAGCTGACATTCGTGCTGTGTTGAATTATGCTCTATCCCTCATTTGATCTTGACGATACAATGAAATGGCCTATCATAGACTTATAGCATAGCCTAAATGCACAACAACCTCAATTTATTACAATAATATGGGCTATGTTTTACAGACATGTTCTTTTAAGCTACAGTAGCACATCCAATAAAATGTTTTATACTCAAACATCTATTCTAGAACAAAAATGGCTACTCACCCTGTTTTAATTTTAATTCACTGTCTTGTCCATTTCTCTCTGTAGGCAAGTAAAGATTTTGAGAAAATCTGTGAGAAAATGCTGTAGCTTTTTCCATTCCACTTCCTTTCCAAACTTCAATGAATGGGAATAGTGCATATAACTATAACCTACATTAATACTATTCAATTTGTAAGTGACCGTATTCCATTATATGTAAATATTAAATAATATCCATAATATTAAAGAGACCCTCGCTCCCCGCCTTCGCCGCGAAGTGTACGGTACGACCACCTGCGCACAACTGTTTCTGCGTCTCGTCCCAGATCTCATCGAGAGTGTTGCGTGCGAAGAGCATGCCAGGTCATTGGGATAAATTCGTCACCTGAAATACGAGGAAGTTAACGCCACCCAATCGGATCTATATAACATCAACCACATCCCTGCCAAGAGGACCGCCGACTGATAAACCATCTTTGCAGAGAGCTGTATTTTACCTTATGCAATAGTTTAGGCTTTTATGCTACTTTATTTACAAAATAGTATAATTAAATTCTCTACACTGTTGTGGACTTCAATCTATTTCCTTTTGATTTGCAAATTGATTGGAACAGCCTTTCGGTGAGTTGTATTACATTTGAATATTGTGTACAAGTTAGTAAATGTGTTAATTTAAACATTTTATCAGTCATACTAATTTCCCTTGACTCGATGGTTTACAATACCTGAGCGCTTACTACGCATGACACCTTTTCAAGCTATATGCCATTGGTCCCTGAATGTAAACAAAGGCACGAATGTGAAGCGGATATAGTGAAATAACGGGGACGCTAAATTAGTTAGCAAGTTCTAATGTTTATTGTGATAAATAAATATGAAATCAAAAGAATATTGTTACTTGTAGAATTATATTCTCATATAGACTTCTTTATTCAAGATATGCCCTTTTTAAGTTTTGTTATCTTGAGACGGGGAATTAATGTTAATTGACTCACAGATGATGATTCCACTTGGGGACTGCTTATATGCGGGAAGGAAGAGAAGGAAGCCCATCCAAAAACAGTTGAGTACCAGATATTGTTACATAATGAGTTAATCTCAGATGAAACACGTGTTGGTTGCATGTGCAAATATAAAATATACTATTCTATAATTGTTTCCAGTCTGGCATTCATGGATATTCTACACTTGTAAATTAATGACAAACAAAAGCATTGGGATGTTTTGAAGTAGGCTACAATTAAAAACAGCATTCTGTACTATGTGTGTGTCAAATCTCAAGGCATTCAGTGTTACATTGTGTATATTTCCAAGGGTATTTGGTTACACTTTGCAAGTAATTTGCTAAAAAAAATCCCTCACCATCTAACTCTAGTGCAGAATGTAAAATAATGAATGTATGTTTATTTGCAAATTGAATGTCGTTATAGATGTGCAATTACACAAACCACAAACATGTATTACAGTTGTAAGTACTTTGTAACAATCTGTACCCACACTAATTACATTGTACCCGCCTATGTAAGTAGTAGTATCATGTATTGTAAATACATCGTTTTAGTATTATTTAATATAATATGGAGGTAAGTATCCTTAAAACTAGGGAAAGGGGATACCTAGTCAGTTGCACAACTGAATGCATTCAACCAAATGTGTCTTCCGCATTTAACCCAACACCTCTGAATCCTTAATTGACGTCCATGTCATCTATCAAGCCATTGCAAGTTTCTTACAATTTCATGTCCAACTTGTGACATTTTCTATCTTCAGCATTATTCAGTTGAGGGACCTGCTACTACTACAGAGGCTTTCCCTCTTCATTATTTAGTAATTATTGGGCTATTTACTAAGTCATTGTTTTCTGACCCCACAGACAACCCCTGACTTTCTCAAAATACCCTGTTAGACATGGTAAAGGTTCCAATGACTAATGAGACAAAATGGGATTGAAATTTCAGTAACGCATGCTTGCTTATTGAATAAACCAGTCGTCATTGGGACAATAAATAGGACTGTATTTTGGTCTCAGTAGATTGATGTAAAACAGCCTAGGTTTTAACTTTTATCATAACATCAATTAACATCAATCAATTATTTGACTCTCTATATCTGACAGAAAACAGACAGTGGCCACCCAGAAGACCAACCCGTCTAAGAGGCACCGTGACCGTCTGAATACAGAGCTGGACCGGCTGGCCAGTCTCCTACCCTTCACCCCAGACATCATCTCCAAACTGGACAAGCTCTCCGTGCTGCGCCTCAGCGTCAGCTACCTCCGGGTCAAGAGCTTCTTCCAAGGTACAGACAACACAGCGTCCCCATGTGTTGCAGTTACACCCTATATAGTCTCTCGTGACAGCAGTTACACCCTATCGTGACAGCACACACGTGAGATTTGGCCATGGATTTAGGTATTTAGGTATTTTATTAGGATCCCCATTAACTATTGCAAAATCAGCTACTCTTCCTGGGGTCCACACAAAACATGAAACATGACATAATACAGAACATTAATAGACAAGAACAGCTCAAGGACATAACTACATAAAAACAATGTTTAAAGGCACACGTAGCCTACATATCAATACATACACACAAACTATCTAGGTCAAATAGAGGAGAGGCGTTGTGCCGTGAGGTGTTACTTTATCTGTTTTTTGAAGCCAGGTTTACTGTTCATTTGAGCAATATGAGATGGAACGGAGTTCCATGCAATAATGGCTCTATATAATACTGTACGCTTTCTTGAATTTGTTCTGAATTTGGGGACTGTGAAAAGACCCCTGGTGGCATGTCTGGATGCCAAGATTACACCCTATTGCAGTATGAAAACGATTCCAAGTTATTTGTTTGTATAATGCAAGGATTGGTTTGTACACTTGAATTGCATCACTTGTACTGTGCTGCCACACATACTCTAATTTCGTTAACCCTAGTGCTGCTTCCATGTTATGAAGCTATAATTCTGTTTACATTATAAATGAGAGCGTTTAGACAAAAAAAAGGAAAATACCTCAGCTGAAAGAATGTTATTTATCATACATGGACCAAAGCAGAAGTGTGATATGCACCGTCAAGCTGGGTGTAACACATTCAGACCACTATGGTCACAAGATAAGTGCTTACGTTTCTAAAGTAGTACCAGAGTAGATTCAACATGTGTTCAGTTGTTTATCTTGTGGCCTTCTGCAGCAGGCATGTGAGGGATTCCACGCCAGGAAGGCCCAAAAATATTTTTGGTGTTTTGATATCTCAGATTGTTCTGGCAATTCTCACATAGAAACTTAATTGGAAGGATGTTTGACATGCTTTTCACATTTGTATCGCAAAATTTTTTAGACCCCTTTTAGACCTATACAGTGAGGGAAAAAAGTATTTGATCCCCTGCTGATTTTGTACGTTTGCCCACTGACAATGAAATGATCAGTCTATAATTTTAATGGTAGGTTTATTTGAACAGTGAGAGACAGAATAACAACAACAAAATCCAGAAAAACAAGTTTCAAAAATGTTATAAATTGATTTGCATTTTAATTAGGGAAATAAGTATTTGACCCCCTCTCAATCAGAAAGATTTCTGGCTCCCAGGTGTCTTTTATACAGGTAATGAGCTGAGATCAGGAGCACACTCTTAAAGGGAGTGCCCCTAATCTCAGCTTGTTACCTGTATAAAATACACCTGTCCACAGAAGCAATCAATCAATCAGATTCCAAACTCTCCACCATGGCCAAGACCAAAGAGCTCTCCAAGGATGTCAGGGACAAGATTGTAGACCTACAAGGCTGGAATGGGCTACAAGGCCATCGCCAAGCAGCTTGGTGAGAAGGTGACAACAGTTGGTGAGATTATTCGCAAATGGAAGAAACACAAAATAACTGTCAATCTCCCTCGGCCTGGGACTCCATGCAAGATCTCACCTCGTGGAGTTGCAATGATCATGAGAACGGTGAGGAATCAGCCCAGAACTACACGGGAGGATCTTGTCAATGATCTCAAGGCAGCTGGGACCATAGTCACCAAGAAAACAATTGGTAACACACTACGCCGTGAAGGACTGAAATCCTGCAACGCCCGCAAAGTCCCCCTGCTCAAGAAAGCACATATACAGGCCCGTCTGAAGTTTGCCAATGAACATCTGAATGATTCAGAGGAGAACTGGGTGAAATTGTTGTGGTCAGATGAGACCAAAATCGAGCTCTTTGCCATCAACTCAACTCGCCGTGTTTGGAGGAGGAGGAATACTGCCTATGACCCCAAGAACACCATCCCCACCGTCAAACATGGAGGTGGAAACATTATGCTTTGGGGTGTTTTTCTGCTAAGGGGACAGGACAACTTCACCGCATCAAAGGGACGATGGACGGGGCCATGTACCGTCAAATCTTGGGTGAGAACCTCCTTCCCTCAGCCAGGGCATTGAAAATGGGTCGTGGGTAGGTATTCCAGCATGACAATGACCCAAAACACACGGCCAAGGCAACAAAGGAGTGGCTCAAAAAGAAGCACATTAAGGTCCTGGAGTGGCCTAGCCAGTCTCCAGACCTTAATCCCATAGAAAATCTGTGGAGGGAGCTGAAGGTTTGAGTTGCCAAACGTCAGCCTCGAAACCTTAATGACTTGGAGAAGATCTGCAAAGAGGAGTGGGACAAAAGCCCTCCTGAGATGTGTGCAAACCTGGTGGCCAACTACAAGAAACGTCTGACCTCTGTAATTACCAACAAGGGTTTTGCCACCAAGTACTAAGTCATGTTTTGCAGAGGGGTCAAATACTTATTTCCCTCATTAAAATGCAAATCAATTTGTAACATTTTTTTACATGCATTTTTCTGGATTTTTTTGTTGTTATTCTGTCTCTCACTGTTCAAATAAACCTACCATTAAAATTATAGACTGATCATGTCTTTGTCAGTGGGCAAACTTACAAAATCAGCAGGGGATCAAATACTTTTTTCCCTCACTGTAAGACCCTATGATCCGTGTACCGTACATTATACAGACAACATGTTGGTAGCATTATACTCCTTACAGTGTGCTCTAAAATATGGAGTATGTCTATATTCTGAAATAAAAATGCACATTAATTTATTCAACATTTAAAATATGTATTTATTTATATTTATATCTCAGAAGTGCCCTTTTTGAGTTTACTTATTTTTTACTCTTTAAGCACGTCAAATTTCCAGAGTCGGCTCTCTGATACTTTTAAAGATATGACCCATTGTATACATAGAAATTGACAGAGGCCATTAACCAATCAAAGCCCTCCTTTAGGATTGTACATTCAGTAAATCACCAGCAGAGGGAGTTCCCTTTGAATCCATTTTCCCTTTCACTGTGTTGGTGGTGCCCATAAAATTGATCATAACTTTTAAAGAGCAGAGAGCCCACTCTGGAAATGTGATGTACTTGTAGAGTATATTGTTTAAAACAATATGTCTAAAAATGAACAAAATCAAAAAGGGTACTTTTGAGATATTAATATTGATATTTGTAATGTTGAATAAATTCATGTGGAAAAAAAAACATTTCAATAACTAGACATATTTTAGAGCACACTATAAGGAGTGTAATGACACCAACATGTTGTCTGTATCATGTACGGTTTACGGATCATAAGGTCTTACAGGAGGCATGTATAGGTCTAAAAGGGCCTAAAATTGCCACTTTCATCATGATTTTCTCAAAAATAGTTTGTGATACAAATGTAAAAAGCATATCAAACATCCTTCCTCTCAATTAAGTTTCTCTGTGAAAATTGCCAGAACAATCCGAGATATCAAAAATGTTTTCAGGCCTTCCTGGGGTGGAATGGCCCATATAAGACATCACTACACTCTTAGAAAAAAGGGTTCCAAAAGGGTTCTTCGGCTGTCCCCATAGGAGAACCCTTTTTGGTTCCATGTAGGACCCTTTTTAGTTCCAGGTAGAACTCTTTTAGGTTCCACATAGAACCCTCTGTGTAAAAGGTTCTACATGGAACTCAAAAGGGTTCTTCATAGTGTTCTCCTATGGGGACAGTCGAAGAACCCTTTTAAGTTCCAATTTTTTTAAAGAATGTAGCCTACCTATTGATATTCTCACCATGCACACTCCTATTACTCTCCTACTTTTCTATGTATTTGACAAGGTTTATCACTTTGAGAAAATGAAAATGGAAAACATGACCAAACAGCCTTGATATTTTACCCATTCATGGATGACCCTACGTCTGCATGATGTCGCTGTGGTAGCCTTGCTCATTCAGCCAATATGTGATGGATATACATGCCTGGTAGCCTATATTAACTTTTGAAATAGACTGTTTTATACATTGGTCAAATTTATCTAGCTGTGGCCTTATTTTCTTCTGTGTCATTTCCAATCCCTTCAAAGTCTGTAATGAAATATGTTAGGTCAAGGTGGTGTTGCTGCATGTGTTAACGTCATTTGATTATCTGATTCTGGATTCAGATCTTGTTTTGACTGAATTGTCTACATGTGAAATGAGGTGTCAGCCATCAGCTATTTATGTCTTTGCAATATACTGTAAATCTTCAAAGCTTTTAATTACATCAAAGACTAAGTTTATACTGGTGGTACCCTACCTGTTACGAATAACGAAAAGGATAGATATGCTATCCAATTAAGGAAATTAGTAGCTGTTCTCTGTTCACTAATATCAATATCTACAAACTTAAAGCAATCCAATTGTCCAATTGAAACCTCACATCTACAGTTACAGTACAACAGAAGAAAACATTAAAGCATTTTCCCTCATTAGTGATGTAATGACCTCGTCTCTTTCTGTGGCCTCACCATGCTGGAGCTGGTGGGAGTCTTTGCTTGAATAGTCTCACGTCAATAATTGCATAGATTGGGCCTGCACAACAAAAGGCATAAGTGACTGACCCCAAACCACTTCTGGTCTAGACACCAAATATGTTGGTCCAACAAGAGGAAGCTGAGAACACAGCATGCAGCGGAGAGAACTCCTTTGTTGTCCCAACACTATTGTTGGACTATTGTCGCTTACAATTACGCTCAAATTTGATCACCCAGAACTCAACTCCCTGCGTTGATCACCCTGTCTGATTGTATGACCTTTTGGTTAAGACTAAAGCACTACAAGTGTTCGTTCAGATTTGACCCTCGTCTGAAACTCTATGTATTCCAGTTTTAACAGATGGTTTATTTTTTATGGTTTTTCAGCAGCACCCTACAAACCTTCAAGTTTAGAGCAGATGTTATTTACAGCAACAGACTGAGAACTCCGATAGTTTACCACACTTATGCCAGATGTGTGCCAGAACTGCTGGTATTTCTTGTTTTTCTGTTATCTCTAATTTTGTGTGCTATCTGCTTAGTACTTTTGTGAATCATATTGATGAGATTGTATGTCATCCAGCTAACACAGTGTGTGAGGAATGAGGAAAAATGCTGTTCTTTTTAAGGATACTGCATAAGGATACTGCATAATACAAGTGCTATAACCCCCTATAGCCTGAGGAATGGGTGTGCAGTACAAGTTGTGCCACGTGCTGCTCTTTCTATTTACCAGCAGCTGTGGTTCCCCTTGCCAGGTTCCAGTCATCAGGCACACTTAGATATCACGCACCCTCGTATGGTCCTACCAGCAGCTCACAATGAGATCACAGAGAGGTTAATAGGATTGGTGCATGCACGTCACTTCTGTGTGGCTCAGTTGGTAGAGCATGGCGCTTGCAACGCCAGGGTTGTGGCTTCGATCCCCAAGGGGGACCAGTATGAAAATGTATGCACTCTACTGTAAGTTGCTCTGGGTAAGAGCATCTGCTAAATGACTAAAATGTAAAATTACAGTGACCTGAATTTAAAAAAGGGCAGGTGAAGTGATAGAGCTTAGGAGACATAGTACATACTGCACAGCTCAATGTGGTTTCAGGTGAGCGTCCTCACGGGGAGGATCAGTGTCAATGGTCTTTAATTCCATGGTCCTGAATACTGTTTGATTCTGATATTGCCTGTTGTACATTCAACATGAAAAGGCTGCTCTTTGAAATGATCAGACAAGGAAAAGACAATAAAAGGGTAACAGTCTTGAAGATGTGGTGATTTCTCCGCAGTACATTCATACGAACCCTAAAAGTCCATAGAAATGTCATTTTCTGTACAGGATACATCTCCAGTAAGGTGTTATGCTGCCTGTTCCTAGAGTGTTACCTGGAGATGAATGTATGAGCGTCTTGTCAGTGCTGGCTAACTCGCCTGTTTGACTTCTATGAGCCTAAATGACAGTGTATTTATATGGAATACAGAGTAATGGGGAAAGGAAAATGGTAGATATTAGGAAGCTGCAATGTGCTCCAGCACATGAGCGAGTAATTGTACACTAGTGAAAGTGGCAGTGGAGGGATAGTCAGATCAGAGAGGGAATGTATGTATCAAGTGCCACAGCATTGAGTTTTATACATCAGTGTTTATTGGTGGGGGTCTAATGACCTTGCATGACACAACAAGGATGCTGTGTGTGAATGTGAACAATGAATTTCCAATGTGAGTTTGTAATCTATCACCTATTGTAAACCCAAATTGAATTGGTTATAATCAAATAAAAGAGCCATTATATACTATGCCTAAAATGTTCAATCACAACAGACATTTTCCTTAGAATTACTGTATAGGTCCTCATGTCATTTTAGATCTGGATTTTAGGGAATTATATCCCAGATGTGGCCAAATTAAGTAATTCAAATGAAGCTAATCTGAGCTAATGTATTTGAGGCGCTGCCAGTTGAGTGAATTTGACCATGTTAAAGCAAGAGAGGTAGACTGGATTATCATCCATAACCTTAAAATGATCTTCTGAAACTCACTGTACCAGTACAGGAGCGTGATAATCTTCATAAGGAAATGCAGAAGAGGTTATAGGTTTGGTATAATGACATGAGTGAAAAGGGTTCTGAAATGTTATAGAATTGGTACAAAGGGAGCCAAAGGCCCCACCAAATTATGAAGTACCACTGAGAAAGCATTACTTTAATGTAAAACCTTTGTAAGGACTGTAAATGTGTTGAATTGTGATGTTGCATGCTCTGCAGTCTAGTCACAGCTCCATATTTCCCATTCCAGTTGTAGTGCTTATCATGTTGACCAGGAGGATCAAGGGGCTAGAATGGAATCAGTACACAGAAGAGGTCTTGGGTTCTCACTTCTCCTCCATGTTTAACTAGGTGCTCTGAAATTGGCCCTCGGAGGGCAGAGTGTTACACTGCTGTTTGGCAGCTGGCAGATTTCCTTCAGCTTGCGTGCAGAACGGGGAAATTCCATTTCCCCCCTGTGTTTGTTGTCATCATGTTTGAATATACTTTTTTCAATAAGGATCAGAAATATTCATTCCGATGAATCCAAGCAATTAGCTCCTGATTTTAATAATTATCCCAGGATAATTTAGGTTTTGCATAGAAATTCCATTTCAGGTAGCTTAGTGGTTAAGAGCGTTGTGCCAGTAACCGAAAGGTCGCTGGTTCTAATCCCCGAGCCGACTAGGTGAAAAATCTGCCGATGTGCCCTTGAGCAAGGCACTTAACCCTAATTGCTGCTGTATGTCGCTCTGGATAAGAGTGTCTGCTAAATTACTAAAATGTAAATGTAATATGTTCTTCTTTCATCCTGATCTGTCGGTCGTTGTTACACTTCATCCAGAAATCTATTGTTCACTTCATTGTTATTTCCAGAAACAATGCCTCGATTGATTATGAAGAGTGTTTTTAGAAAGAGTACACATTTTTTGTCTTGTTCTGTTTGTACCAAATAATTGTTATTATCAACAACGATTAAAATCTTTGCAGATGTTATTCTGATATCATACGTATGCATGTTGTGATCCAACATGTATTTTACTTATGTTTTCTACTTTTCAGTGATATTCAGTTATCCGATATCGGTTGTGTTCAATCAGCCAAAGGCAACATTCATGGAAAATATAGATACAGGAAAACTATTTGTCTGCACGCAATAGTGTGTGGAAGTGACCTTAATATGTCATAAAGGAGGGGCGCTAATCTTGGTCTTATTGCATGATGACTGCAGTGCTAACTGAATTGGCACAAGCCCTTTTTGTCTAAACTGTGATCTTTAATGTGTCATCAGATCATAAGAAAACATCCCATCAGCTCAATCTAATGACATCTACTTAACAAGCATTTTCACCACAGATATTATTATCCATATTGGCATGTTAACAAAGACAGCCACAAAACAACAAATGTATGTTAAAGGAAATATATTGATTTATTGATGGATTAATGGTGTTCGATTGATCAAGCCCAAAGACAACTGTTCAAAAGTGAATATGACGGGAGAAATTATGATGAATTATCATGTGTAAATGCATAGTAATGTTTACATCTTTATTATTTTCATGACTGCTACTATTACGACAGACATGCATTGTACAACGACAAATCCACCTGCTCTTCGGACTAGTCAATATACAAAACTCTATTGACTCAAGAACTTAACCTCTGATCCCCGACAAAGGCTATTGTCACCAAACAATTTTTTTGTGTCAACTCGCACTTTTGTCTACAACACCACCGTCGTTGATCATCAATGCACTAGACTTGATCTCATGGCACTACATAGATCACGCAAGTCAATGAGAAAACCCCGGGGGTGGGGGGTTTAGACAGTAACAATTTAGTTTAATTTGTTTATTTTAGTATATTATGCTACTTACGGTAATGTGTAAATAACAACAATGATATAATTTTATATTATGTCGTTTCAACATGGCTGTAAAAGTAAGTAGTCTTATTTAGATTTCATATTTGGCTCCTCAATTAACTTCATGATGTGCATTTAGGCTACTCTCCTTGAGATTCCCAATGATGTATACTCTCCTATGCACCTCACACTCACTGACCCCCCTGTCATTTGTCACTGTGTGCTGAACATTCAAATTACTGTAGTAGCTACTCACAGTAATTTAATTCAGCAAGGACGGAATCAGTCACAGAAATTAAAACCTCCTCCCTGTTTCTCATTCAGTTGACCCCTGAAAACCTACCCCTCCTCCTGACATGGGTACAGTGGCTATAGAAAGTCTACACCCCCTTGAACTTCTTTCACATTTTGTTGCGTTACAAATTGGGATTGAAATAGATTTAATTGTAATTTTCTCATTGATCTTCACAAAATAATCCCTAATGGAGTAAATACAAATCTACACTGGAGTTGCTTATCAAGAAGACAGTGAATGTTCCTGAGTGGCCAAGTTACAGTTTTGACTTAAATCTGCTTGAAAATACTATGGCAAGACTTGCTGTCTAGCCGTGATCCCCAACATGATGACAGAGCTTGAATAATTTTGAAGATAATAATGGGCAAATATTGCACAATATAGGTGTGCAAAGCTCTTATGAGACTTACCCAAGAAGACTCACAGCTGTAATCGCTGCCAAAGGTGTTTATAACATGTATTGAATACTTATCTAATCAAGGTATATTAGTGTTTTATTTTTCTTTAATAAAAAAAGAAATGATTAAAAAAAGAAATCTTACACTTTGACATTAGAGTATTTTGTGTAGATCCTTGACAAAAATGACAATTAAATCCATTTTAATCCCAATTTGTAACACAATGAAATGTGAAGATATCCAAGGGGTGTGTAGACTTTCTATAGGCATTGTAGGTACTGTACAGTAATGAGTTTTTGCCTCTCAGGAAATCAGCACACTGTCTCTTTAAGAGGCTCTTGGTCTAGTAGTGGTGTAGGAAAACCAGGCGAGCAGTTGCCTGACTGCAGCAGACTGGATTCTGACCTCAGAAATGGTTATGAAAACGATATGTTGATCAGTGTAGCATGTAGGAGGCCAGCCCTGCAGAAATGAGTGGGGAGCCACCTCTTGCGCTTCAGAGTTGGCCCTTATTGCCTTTACAGCACTACATACGCACCAGGACATACAGTGTATTCGGAAAGTATTCAGACCCGTTGACTTTTTCCAAATGTTGTTACATTACAGCCTTTTTCTCATCGATCAACACAGTGAAAACAGAAATACCTTATTTACATACACTACCAGTCAAAAGTTCAAGGGTTTTTCTTTATTTTTACTATTTTTTACATTGTAGAATAATAGTGAAGACATCAAAACTATTAAATAACACATATGGAATCATGTAGTAACCAAAAAAGTGTTAAACAAATCAAAATATATTTTATATTTGAGATTCTTCAAATTGCCACCCTTTGCCTTGATGACAGCTTTGCACACCCTTGGCATTCTCTCAACCAGCTTTATGAGGTAGTCACCTGGAGGGGGGGGGGGGGGGGGGGGGGGGGGGGGGGTATACAGAAGATAGCCCTATTTGGTAAAAGATCAAGTCCATATTATGGTAAGAACAGCTCAAATAAGCAAAGAGAAACAACAGTCCATCATTACTTTAAGACATGAAGGTCAGTCAATATGGAACATTTCAAGAACTTTGAAAGTTTCTTCAAGTGCAGTCACAAAAACCATCAAGCGCTATGATGAAACTGGTTCTCATGAGGACCGCCACAGGAATGGAAGACCCAGAGTTACCTCTGCTGCATAGGATAAGTTCATTAGAGTTACCAGCCTCAGAAATTGCAGCCCAAATAATTGCTTCACAGAGTTCAAGTCACAGACACATCTCAACATCAACTGTTCAGAGGGGACTGTGTGAATCAGGCCTTCATGGTCGAATTGCTGCAAAGAAACCACTACTAAAGGACACCAATAAGAAGAAGAGACCTGCTTGGGCCAAGAAACATGAGCAATGGACTTTAGACAAGTGGAAATGTGTCCTTTGGTCTGGAGTCAAAATGTGAGATCTTTGGTTCCAACCGCGTGTCTTTGTGAGACGCGGTGTGGGTAAACGGATGATCTCCACATGTGTAGTTCCCACCGTAAAGCATGGAGGAGGAGGTATTATGGTGTGGGGGGGGGGGGGCTTTGCTTTTTTTAGAATTCAAGGCACACTTAACCAGCATGGCTACCACAGCATTCTGCAGCGATACGCCATCCTCTCAAGCTCTGTCTGGTTGGATGGGGAGCGTCGCTGCACAGCTATTTTCAGGTCTCTCCAGAGATGTTCGATCAGGTTCAAGTCCGGGCTCTGGCTGGGCCACTCAAGGACATTCAGAGACTTGTCCCGAAGCCACTCCTGCGTTGTCTTGGCTGTGTGCTTAGGGTCGTTGTCCTGTTGG